CACTTTGTATCTTCATTGAGACCATGGTGTCTTGTCAACCTATTTCCAGGACAGACCTCACTTGCCTGCTTTTTTTTGAAGTTCGCTTTATCCCCACCACCCTGTCATTTACAACATGACTCCTTGAGAGTGACCACTCTGAGCATGGGCCACAACCAGTTGCATCTCCCTTACTGGGGAGCTCAGGTCCTGAAATCACAATCTGCATCTTATGGGATCACCAGCATAATCAACTTTGAGAAGCCCTCGTTTACATAAGACGGGTTTTCTGATGACTCCCATTTACCCATCAATGATAAATCTCACTAGTCTCTACCAGAGCTACCACTAGTCCTTTACTTTTTATCTACTTGTTGTCCCTAATCTCTTCCTTCTGCTCCTCACTGTTACGATGTTATTGTTTTATTTAAATCTGATTATGATGCTCTCAGTCTTGCTTAACTATAAATATGGTAAAAAAAAGTTAACTTATTAAGGGACAATCAACTTTTGTGAAAATATCAATATAGGGGCACATGGATGCAGTATTTAAGTAAAGATTAATATACCAATACAGTCCCTTTTCTCAGCAATTAAGTTTTGTGTTGTTATGGTCTCATAAATTCACAAATATGCAGGATTGAATCTGGACACCTCAGCTATACAAGTAAGAAAGTTCATGGAGACTCAATTTTCCTCAGCAGACTTGCCTCTGCCACTCCTCACCTCATGCTCCATTCTCTCAGTCTTCTCAGCTCTCTGCACCTCTTAATAGCTCCAGTGACATTGTGATCAGGAGTTTGCACATTCATCTCTCACCTTTACCTGAAAGTACTGTATTTTCTCTTTTAAAATTGCATCCTATTTAAATGCCTAGTGCCAACTGGAAAATATGGAAGGAGTGCTGACATCAGAAAGTCATAGCTTTGTAACCATAACAAAACACATCATTGGGTCAACTGTCAAATTAGAATATGGGTGGCAGGTTATGTAAAAGCATTGCATTGGTGTTAAATTCACTGACCCAGGTAACTACTGTGCTAAACACTGACATATCTAAGCATCAGTGGTGTGTGCCACCTACAAATGATTCAAGAAAAAAAGTGTATATATAAAATGAAAAATATAAATATATGTATAAATGGGGAGGAAATGTGGAGAGGCAGAGGGAGGAGAGAGAGAGAGATCAAGAGAGATGAAGAGAAAGCTTGCTCACCTGGGCAAAGAGAACCTGGGGAAAAATGTTAGCAATAGGTAAATCTGGGTAAAGTGTGTACTGTGTTTTTGTTTTTTTAAGATTTTATTTATTTATCTTTACAGGGGAAGGGGAGAGGGAGAGAAGCATCAATGTATGGTTGCCTTTCGTGTGTCCCCTGCTGGGAACTGGCCTGCAGGGAACCAGCCTGCAACCCTGGTATGTGCCCTGACTGGGAATCGAACCATGATTGTCTGGTTCTCAGGTCCGCGCTCAATGCACTGAGCTATACCAGCCAGGGCTAAAGTGTGTATTGTTGTTCCGAGTACTCCTTTTGCAACTTTCTGTAAGTTTTAAATAATTTTGAAATAGAAAAGCTAAAGTTTTAAAAAGGTTTTTTAAAAATGTTCTTTTAAAATTTTTTCAAATTTTCATTGTTCAAGTATAGTTTTCTGCCTTTCTCCCCCATCACTCCCTGTAAAAAAGTATTGTATTTTTTGAACCATAAGATGCACCTAGGTTTTAGAGAAAAATAGGAAAAAATATTTTGAAGCAAAAAATGTGGTAAAAAATTTAATAACATACATAATATTGCACCAATGTAAATGTAAACAGAACTCAACAACAGCATTAGCAACCATCATTACTCCTAAACTGGGAGGGCGGTGTCTTATAGTCTGAAGAATATGGTATATCTTTCCAAATTAAGAAATTCTACTCATTGAACTTCCGCCAAGATGGAGGCATAGGTGGAGACGCCATGCTTTCTCACACAACCAAATTTAGAGACAACAAAATATTAGCAACAGAAAACACAGCCAGAACACAGAAAATTGAACTTTTCGGAAGTCTGATAACGAATTCTTCAGCCTGACCAGTAAGAGGGGCGAAGCCCGTAGCTGGTGGAGTGGGGTTGCACAGGAAAACTCGGTCAGATGGTCTCAGGCGCACGGATCCCAGGTGTGGGGATGCTACGGGCGGACCCAGTGAGTGACCCGGTAAGCGACCCAGTGAGCAACCAGCGACCCAGCGAGGGCGCAGGGTGGCGGGTTGACTGTGGTCGCACATTCCTGCACACATAGACCAGTGAGGGAGCAGGCAGTGAGATGGGACCGAGCAGGCCCCAGTGGCCGGAGGCAGCAGAGGGGGCCGCCATTTCCCCACTCTGACCCCGCCCCCACATACAGCATCACAACCCAGCAACCTGAGCATCCCTGCCCTGGTGAACATCTAAGGCTCTGCACCTCATACCTAATGGGTGTGAACAGACCAAAAACGGCTCAGGAAGATCTCAAAGCCCCAGAGCCCATAACTCTTAAATGACAAAGAAACAGCAAAACTTTCAGATGCACAGTTCAAAACACTGGTGATCAGGATGCTCACAGAACTGGTTGATTTTAGTCACAAATTAGAGGAACATATGAAGGCTAAACTAATTGAAATGAAGGGAATTGCACAGGAAACCAATAGTGATGAAAAGGAAACTGGGACTCAAATCAAGGGAGTGAACCAGAAGGAAGGAAAAAATGACCAAACAGGAAAATATGAAGAAATAAGAATTCAAAAAAATGAGGAGAGGCTTAGGAACCTCCAGGACATCTTTAAACGCTCCAACATCTGAATTATAGGGGTACCAGAAGGGGGAAAGGAACAGCCACGAGTAGAAAACTTATTTGAACAAATAATAAAGGAGAACTCCCCCAATCTGGCAAAGGCAATAGACTTCCAGGAAATCCAGGAAGCTCAGAGAGTCCCAAAGAAGGTGGACCTAAGGAGGAACACACCAAGGCACATCATCATTACATTAGCCAAGATTAAAATGAAGGAGAGAATCCTAGAAGCAGCAACACATAAGGGGACAGTCACCTACAAAGCAGTTCCCATCATACTGTCAGTGGATTTCTCAAAAGAGACCTTACAGGCAAGAAGGGGCTGGAAAGAGGTATTCCAAGTCATGAAATCCAAAGACCTACAACCAAGATTGCTCTATACAGCAAAGCTTTCATTTAGAATGGAAGGGCAGATAAAGTGCTTCTCAGATAAGATCAAATTCAAGGAGTTCATCATCACCAAGCCCTTATTATATGAAATGTTAAAGGGACTTATCTAAGAAAAAGAAGATAAAAAATATGAACAGTGAAAGGACAGCAAACTCACAGATATTAACAACCACACCAAGAACAAAAGCAAACTAAGAGGACAGCTAGATCAGGAGCGAAACATAGAAATGAAGATCTCATGGAGGGTTAGCAACAGGGGAGTGGGAGGAGGAGAAGGGGGGAGAAGGTACAGAAAATAAGTAGCATAGATGGTAGGTAAAAAATAGATAGGGGGAGGGCAAGAATAGTATGGAAATATAGAATCTAAAGAACTTGAGACACATGGTCATATACTAAAGGGGGGGAATGGTGGGGGTGGGGGGTGCGGGGTGGAGGGGAATGAAGGTGGGGAATAGAACTGTAATGGCATAATAAAAAATAAAAATAAAAAAGGACAGGAAACTAATAAAACAATCCCATTTATAACTGCAGCAATAAAAATAAAATACTTAATAAATCTAAAAAATTCTACTCATAGACATATTTTTTCTAAGGAAATCACACACTATCAGGAACAAAAGTGCAATAAAGCTTATAAAAAAGCACCTGGTAAAAGGCTGGAAATTAGAGGGGAATGTGAAAACAGCTGTTGGGAACCACTCTGCTTGGTTTCAGAAGCTGTAATCCCCAGTGGGTAAGGCTGAGTAAAAGACCTTGGGACCATAAGCCACTTAGGGGACAAAGCTTATCTCTGTCTTTGGCAGGGGCTTAGCCTTTTCCCCTGGTACTTCACCCTGCTTGGCCCGCAGCCTGACTGGTTAGCCAATGATGGGTAAGATTCCTCAAGGGTGGACAACCTAGAACAGGCATGGTCACAAAGGGTCCCTAAGGGAAGGACTTGGTGGGCTATACCCAAAAGGGAATGATGGACCCTTGCCCCTGGGCTTTGACATAGCCTGAGTCCTCATTCTCTCTGCAAGAAGTCTCCTAATCTCTTGGCTGCCTTACTTCCCCTGCCTGACTTAAGTCTGAAACAATGCCAGGTGTGGGTGCAGCCCTGTGCGGGAATGAGCAGGTTCCCTGGGGCAATCAGGCCTAAGAAAGAATGCATAAAATCCTCTGAAACCTACTTTGCTAATACCCTCAATTTACACACACACACACACACACACACGCGCACACACTCTTACTCTAATTAATTAATTAATTAATTTTTAAAAAATATTTTTTTTATTTATTTTTCGAGAGGGTAAGGAGAAAGAGTGGGAGGGAAACACCAATGTGTGGTTGCCTCTCATGCATCCCCTGCTGGGAACTGGCCTGCAACCCAGGCATGTGCCCTGACTGGGAATTGAACCTCAATACTCTGGTTCACAGGCCCGCACTCAATCCACTGAGCCATGCCAGCCAGGGCTAATTTATTTTTATTTATTGTATTTTAATTGTTGTTCAAGTACAGTTTTCTGCTTTTTACTCTCATCCCAGCTCAGGGTTTAATCTCAATTTAAATTATAAGAGTCCAAGCATAGAATGAGTTTGTTTCCCCAAAGTTTTATGGCCCTTTAGCTATCTGACCCCGACTAAAAATAAGCCCTTAGAGTTCTCTGAATGTTATCTATTGTTTGATCATTATATGCCCTGTAGTCCCAATGCAAATTAAGCCCAATAAAAGCCCATTGAGGAACAGGCTCCTGGCCCTTCTCTTTTGAGAGATTGGCCACCTTTCCTTCCCAAGCAGATCACGTCTTGGTAGGCTTATTATCATCCATGGTGGCTGGCGGGTGTGTGTGTGTATGCGTGCTGTGGGTGGAACACCTGCCCCCAAAAGCAGCAATAATGAACTGTTAGCTAACAGGTACTGAGCCCTTACTCCATATCAGGTTTATATCCACTTCACAAATTTTATCATTTCACTGTCTGTTTTACTTGAAATTTATTTATGACTGTTTATTTTTGCTATTTTTTTCTAACTTAGGTTGAAAGCTTTATATATTTTCTTATATTTTTGTCCTTTCAGTAATAAAATCATTTAACATAGTGGATTTCTATCATCAGAATCACGGTTTTCATATAAAATATTGTTTTGTTTCTAACATAAAAAACTACTAGGGCTTAAGGAAAAAAAAAGCTGAATTTGTTATATGCTGTACATACCATTGAAAAAACTTCCTGAATTGCTGCTCATTGATAGGAAAATTTCACGTTTTAGAATGTTACAAAGGAAAATAAATGTTTTATTGTGGCTGTTCATCCAGGATTGAAAGTTAGCAGTCTGAATAGAATGGATCCATAGAACTGTTACATGATTAATTAAAAGAGGTTCCCTTTTCAGAGGCCAAGGTAAATTCTTGAGTTGAATCCTAGAAGTTTTTGGCCTGATGAGGTCATTAAAGTCCATGGTTCTTTAACAGATTTAGCTGAGGGGAGACAGAATTCAGTTTTATTATCTTCTAAGTAAGTGTTGCTGTAAATGAAATACTTTCCATCTACTGTCCCTCTTTTTGGTCCTTTCTTTTCTTAAAATGATGGTGTGACCACAAAAATAGCACAATTATCAGGTTTCAGTTCTACAGCTCCACACTGTTTTCAGTATCATTCTCACTGGATTTCTTTGTTGTTGTATTTTTATCAGTCACTTCAATTTCCTTTTGATATAGAATCACCTGTGGTTTCAACTGATAGGCTGGTAGTTCTGTCGAAGTATTTAATATTCTGGTAACAATACACAAGACAGTAGCATCAATTAGGAATAAGGATAAAAATAGCCTAACTAACATTTGTAGAGGATCCTTCAGCCAACCTCCTATTTGGCCAAATCACATCATGTAAAAAAAAATTGACAGTTGTGTTTTTCCTACCTGAGATAATCAATTGGCTTGTTCTTGAACTTCATCATTCATGAGTATTTATCTAAATACAAACAAAAGTAAAAGCCAACAAACAAATGCCAGATTGTTTGATCCATAAATATCTCAAGGCAATTCCTTGTCCAGCATCTTTGCAGCAAATGATTTAAAGCTGTTCTGTTGAGTTTGTATAGTAGACACTGATTTCATGGTTATAATTTCCATCAAAGGGACATGTGTCACATGTATCTTACCCAATGCAAACACTCAAAACCTAGGGAGAAACCTGGATACAAACCAATGGAAACCAGTTATCTCCAATGCCTTCTGGTAAGTCTGTACTTCAACAGTCACACTGATGAGAGATGATTAAGTCATTTGAGATCTCAGCAAGTATAGTCATATTAAACCAAATAATGACATAAAAACATTCCTCAGGGGTAGAATTCTTACTGTCTCCAAAACCAGCATTGTGTGGTGATCGCACCTTGGCATGACTATCTCAAGCCAGGAGGGGTACAACCAGAGTAAATTTGGTATATTCTATAAATGTATTTATCAGATAGCAGGAAGTCAGTATCACAAAATATGCCTAAGATTAGAATTTAAAGGTGTAATTAATTCAACCTGGACATTAAATATTATGTGTTATTAGTTATGTCCTATAATTTAACATCAACACAATTATGTATAACAAGGTTTTATGCAAAAGCTAAAACACTGTATAGCTGAAATATTCATGTTGTATTTTTAAGGAAGAGTAATACAAACTGCATAACTTTAAAACTTTTAATCCATTAAATAAACTTATTTATCTTAAACTGTTATTAAATATCTTATTGTATTTACCTGTGAGGTATATTTTTTGTGATTAAAAAACATAAATTAACTTTTTAAATGGATAAATCTTATCACAATACCTGATGATTTTTAAAATAAAATATCCTAATAAAAAGTACCTACCTCACTGGTATTCCAGAGAAAGTATGACAAATCCAATACTTACTTACAGTTCCTTATGCAGCTATGACCTTAATAATCTTTCCACTTAACTTTATTGAGGCAACATTAGTATACAGAAAACTGCATATAATTAATGAATACAATTTGGTGAGTTTGGACATATGTACACACTTATACTATCACCACAACTAGGTAATAAATACATTGATCATCTCCAAAAGCTTCCCTGTGTCCTGTGTGTGATTGTATGTAACATGAGACTTACCCTCTTGTCAAATTTTTAAATATGTAATACCTTATTGTTGACTATAAGCTCTATATTATTTGGCAGATCTCTGGAACTTACTCATTTTATATAACTGTAATTTTATACCCATTGAACAACTCCCATATTGCCCTTCCCCAGCATCTGGTAACCATCATTCTATTGTCTACCACTGTATTTTTGACTATTTTAGATGCCTCAGATAAGAGAATCCATATAGTATTTGTCCTTCTGGGACTGGGACTGATTTATTTCACATAGCATAATGTTTTCTTGGTTCATCCGTGTTGAGAGGAGTTTTGGTTTGGAAAAATGGAATTCCTGCTCCTAGGTAAAGAAAAGGCAATGAATGTATGATTTGGTTAAGGTGCTATTTCAGAACTCAGAACTAACGAGGGAAGCCCAGAATCTGGCATAAAGGACCTTCTGAAGAGAAACCCCTAAAACCAGTGGAAAAGTGGATAAGTAGAGGAAGGGAGGCACAGATTAGCAAGATAGCACAGTAAGTCTACTCCTTGTTGGGTGGATAAAAATCTCCCCCACTTGAAACAAGAATATCTAGGAAGAGAATTCAGCCTGAAGAACAGGTCTGAAATGTAGACACACACACACACACACACACACACACACACACACCCTATTCTCAACTGTACCAACCCCCCACCCCAAGACTCTCCTAAGGGGGCGGGGGCAGGGCACATAAAAAAGGACATTGTTGTCAAGTCCACTCCAAAGGTAAAGGTCAGCGCTGCCTGGCAGCTGCTCCACCATTTGCCTTTTCTGCAGTTAAGGTGCTCAGTGGCTCAGATTTTAAGTTCTAAGGGAAGCCATTGTTACCTAGTGAGGCCAGCCTCCTGCAGTAAGCCAACATCACCTCTTTGCCTAGGTTCTTCTGTGCAGGACTCCATAGCCCCCACAGCTTCCACATTTCCTAAAATACACAGTCATATTCCTAAAGGCCATAAAAGCCTTCTGTACCAAACACAGCTCTCCTCACTCTGTTGCCAGTTTTGGTCATGGCTCAAAGTAAGGGAGCAAGGAGGCTGCCCCAAAGAAGGGAAGGACAATATCTAGATCCTACTGCTTAGATTATAAAACCATTAGCTTGACCAACCTGGAGAGGACGAGCACTTGCCAATGATCATATAACCAACTGGGACCAAATGTCCTAAGCTAAATGGTCTCTATCGAACCAGCATAATTTGTCTAGTCTAGGCCCTGGTCTGGTTATTATGGGGTTTACAAGCAAAAATAGAGTTCCTAACCTATTTTTCTTAAAAGATTTTTATTTATTTATTTTTAGAGAAAGGGGAAGAAAGAGAAACATCAAAGTAAGAGAGAAACATTAATTGGTTGCCTCTCTTATGTTCCCCCATGGAAAACAAACCCACAACCCAAGCATGTGCCCTGATAGTGAATGGAACTGGCGAACTTTCCCTTCACAGGACAGAACCACACTGGTCAGGGCTAAAGATGCTTTAAATACAGGAAAATTACATACAAAGATAGAACACATGGTCATAGTCTTTCTCAGTTTTAGGAATTTTGAGTTAGTTGACCTACTATATTTTGCTGTGTATAATGCTCACTATTTTGCCTAAATTTTTGTGCAAAAAATAAGGATGCCCAGTATATATGGGTAGTGCTACTAATTCCATATATGTGTATATATATATCTATACACACACACACACACACACACACACACACACACACATATATAAATGTTTTTTAATTCTTTTATTTATGCTTATGCATTTAAAGTGTAACTCTAGAGGCCAAGATGGAGGTATAGGTAGATACACTGTGCCTCCTTCCACAACCAAAAGAAGGATAACAACAAATTAAAAAAAAAACTGAATTGACAGAAAAATCAAACTATATGGAAGTCTGACAACCAAAGAGTTAAAGAAGAAACATTCATACAGACCAGCAGGAGGGATGAAGATGGGCAGCTGGGCAGAAAGGACTCAGCAAGGAGGCAGCTGGAGGACTGGGGCAAGCAAGGCAGTAGCTGGCAGCATGGGCAGTCCCACATTTGAGTATAGATAAACTGGGAGGAACAACTGGGTAAACACTGAGACAGACTGTGCAACCCAGGGTTCCAGTGCAGTGAAATACAGCCTCAAAACTTGTGCCTGAAAAAACCTGTGGGGGTTGTGGTGGCAGAAGAAACTCTCAGCCTCACAGGAGGCTTCTTTGGAGAGACCACAGAGTCCTATAAAGTATACAAACCTACTCTCCTGGGAATCAGCACCAGAAGGGCCCAATTTGCTTGTGGATAGTGGAGGACGTGACTGAAAGCCGGCAGAGAGTGGTGCAAGCAGCACTATTCCCTCTCAGACCCCTCTCCCACATACTGCACCACAGTACAGTGACCATGGCTTGACCTGCCCTGGTGAATACCTAAGGCTCCACCCCTTACTACATAACAGGAGCACCTAGGGGGGAAAAAAGGCCCAAATGAAAAAACAGATCAAACTCCAGAAAAAATACAACTAAGTGCTCAAGAGATAGCCAACCTGTCACCACACAGTTCAAAACACTGGTACTCAGGATGCTCACAGAAATGGTTGAGTAAGGTCCCAAAATAGAAGAAAAGGTGAAGGCTATGAAAAGTGAAATAAAAATGTGCAGGGAACCAACAGTGACAGGAAGGAAACCAGGACTCAATTCAATGGTTTGGGCCAGAAGAAAGAAATAAACATTCGACCAGAACAGAATAAAGAAACAAGAATTCAAAAAAATTAGGAGAGGCTTAGGAACCTCGTAAAGAACCTCCAGGGCAAACTTTAAACGTTCAAATATCTGAATCATAGGGGTGCCAGAAGGAGAAGAGGAGGACCAAGAAATTAAAAACTTATTTGAACATATATGACGGAGAACTTCCCCAATCTGGCAAAGGAAATAGACTTCCAGGAAGCTCAGAGAGTCCCAAAGAAGTTGGACCCAAGGAAGCACACTCCAAGGCACATCAATTAAATTACTCAAGATGAAAGATAAGGAGAGAATCCTAAAAGCAGCAAGAGAAAAGGAGACAGTTACTTACAAAGGAGTTCCCATAAGGCTGTCAGCTGTTTTCTCAAAAGAAACCTTGCAGGCAAGAAGGGGCTGGAAAGAAGTATTCCAAGTCATGAAAGGCAAAGACCTTCACCCAAGATTACTCTATCTGGCAAAGCTATCATTTAGAATAGAAGGGCATATAAAGTGCTTCCCAGGTAGGGTCACGTTAAAGAGGTTCATCATTACTAAGCCATTGGGAAAGCCATTTCACATGAAATGTGAAAGGGACTTTTCTTAAAAAAAAAAAAGAAGAAGATAAAAAATAGGAACAGTAAAATGACAATAAACTCAGAACTATCAACAACTGAATCTAAACAACAACAACAAAAAACAAACTAAGCAAACAACTTGAACAGGAACAGAATCACAGAAATGGAGATCACATGGAGGGTTATCAGCAGGGAAGGGGAGGGTGGGAAGCGGGGAAAAGGTACAGGGAATAAGTAGCATAAATAGTAGGTAGCATATAGATAAGGGGAGGTTAAGAACAGTATAGAAAATGTAGAAGCCAAAGAACTCATATGTATGACCCATGGACATGAACTAAGTGTGGGGGTAAGGCAGGTGGGAGGGGGTGTGCAAGAAGGGGAATAGAGGGGGAAAGTGGGACAACTGTAATAGCATAATCCATAAAATACAATAAAAAATGTAACTCTAGAAAGCAATAACAATACCCATATGGTCAAAAATAGATGCTAAAATTCTTTTATGATATGAAAAACAAGTATTTAAATATGAATAAATAATTTAATTTAAAAATTAAAACAAAAGATTTTTTTAAATGAAATTCTGAGCCAAAAACATGGGTGCACATTATACATGGGAGTGCATTATACACAGCAAGATATAACTGTATTAGCTTCAAGGATCTGAGTCCCTGAATGGATTAAATCTTTGCTACCTAGTGTGTTCTGAGTATAAGCTTAGTTGACATCATCTGGAAGCTTGTTAGAAATGTTGATGCTTGGGCTCCATCCCAGGCATGCTGATTCAGAATCTGTATGTTTTCAAGATCCCAGATAATATGCACGGATTTCACTAACAGCAACAACTAATCAACAACTAAGCTTCTGATTTTCTAAAGCAGGTTTTTCCTCTACATTATCACACGTCACTTTCCTTTCTTGGGGTGAAAGCAGCTTTGTTATGAATAATGAATGCCAGGGCCCTCCCAAAAACTCACAGTCTCTTGGAGGTGGTGTTCAGGCACTGTATTTTTAAAAGCTTCCAGTATACAGCTGCTGTGTTTCTTGTTGATCTCTGGTTTGGCTTTGCTTCTTTTTCTTCAGAGTAATTAGTGAATCCACTGCCATGAGGGCAAAGACAAGACCCTCATAAATATCGTTATCATTGGCCATGTGAACTCTGGCAAGTCCACTACCACTGGGCATCTTATCTACAAGTATGGGGTTATTAATAAGAGAACCATGAAGAAGTTCAAGAAGGAGGCAGTAGATATGGGCCAGGCCTTCTTAAAGTATGGGTGCTGGACAAACAAGGCAGAGAGAGAGTGTGGTATCACCATGGACATCTCCCTGTGGAAATTTGAGACCAGCAAATACTTCACCATCATCAATACAATCTTCACTGTGAAAAGTTTTTAATTACATTTAAAAAATTAAAACAAAAATAAATAAAGGCTTTCAGGTGTAGCCAGGGTCAGAGGAATCTCAAGAAGTCGCCATAGGATAGAGATCAGGGAAGGTTTCACGAAAGAGAGCTGGGAATTTGGTCTTGAAGGATTGATAGGGTTTAGAAGAGTCAGGGAAGCAAGCAAGGTATTCCGGATGGGGTGTGGAGTGGGGTAGAGTGGGGTGTAAAGAATTATAGGGAAGGAGGAGATGGAAAAAGAGGCAAGAAGGAATATTTTTAGAAAGCAGGCAATCTAGATTTCTATGTGGAAAGTCTTAATTATTAAATGCTGAGAACTTTCAGATATGAAACGCAAAGCTGGCTAAGCCAACATCTGTATGCCACATGTGTATAGCTATATGACATCCTCACTTCCGTGCATATAAGCACGGAAAATCAGCCAATGCAACACCATTTGCTACTGAAAACCGTCGTCATAGTGGCTCAGACCCGGAGACTGGCTTTTCTCCAACTTTTCTCATCCATTGTCCTCACTAGAGCTCAGCTAGGCCCTTATCTTGGAAGTCTCCCTTGGTCTCCATTACCAGGACCCTGAGACCCCTGCATTTCACATACAATACAGCACGCATCACTGGACACTTAAACACAGACGATTCTGCGCTGTTACTCTGAACCCCTGTGGGTCAACAGCTAATTTTTAGGCAAATGACTGAGTCAGCTCGAGCTGTGAGAGGTCGTGAGACGGTTCTAAGTAAAATGAGACACTCATCCATGGCCAGGGCTGAATTGAATTCACTACAAACAAGGCAGCGTGGGGGCAAGAGGGAATGGATTCATCCTGAGAGTTAAGAAACTTCAGAAAAAAATTCTTCCTGGTTCTCTGGGACACGTAGACATTTTCTTGGTCCTAGAGAAAAGGTAGGTTTCAGAAAACCTACCTAAATAAGGTAAATAGAAGTGAGAGGATGCCCTCCCACAATGAAATGGGGCTTGCTCTCCAGCTCCCCGGTTGAGGTGTCTGGGATGGCACCAGCGCAGCCCTGTTTTCAACCAGAGCTCTCCCCAAAGACCCAGACGGCCAAGTCGACAACGGGTTCAGCCCGTTCCTATTCGCCAGGAGAGAAGTAAGTTTCCTCACAATTTCGCGGGCTCCAACAGAAGAAAAAAGTCTTAGGGTACCCACAATGGAGTGTTCCGGTTGAGGATATGTGCTCAGACTCCGGGTCTAATTTGCTGGGTTGAACCCCCTCTCCCAGCTTTGTCCTCGCCATGGGTTTATTGGAGTTAAAAAGATACCTGAATTGGACGAGACCACATATGTGCGGCGCTCAAGGGATACCAGACACAGCTCTGTAACCTGCAGCAGGGCCTGGGAAAATTCACTGCCGAACTACCACCGACCAATCCCCAATCGAAAAGCAGCCTCCCTTCTACGTCATTTCTGCGTGCCGGGCGTCAGCCCGCGACGGTAGCGGAAGTCGTTTCAGCCGGACGGGGGAGTGTGGTCTTTAGAGCGAAGGGGTTAGCCGTTGCAGGCACGACGGAAAGCTGTACGCATGGCCCCGTACATGTTTTGTGAACGCGATTTTAAGAAAAAAGAGGGGAAATCCAGATGCCACAGTGGTCATTGTACTGTGGCTGAACCAAGTTGTCTAGAAACGGTTCCCTCAAAGGCTATAGGGAGCCGCTGGCTCTCCGCGCCCCTCTGGTTGCGCCAAGCATCCTGGGAAGTGTGGTCCTCGCGTTATACCGCGGATTTTGGGTAGTGTAGTCTCGCTGCGCTGCTGGAGTAGCTAGGTCTCCAGCTGGTGGCTGGATTGACCCCTTGTTCTTTGGTGGCGCTGGTGAGTGAGGCTTTCGGGGCACCTTTACCTCAGCCGTGCCCCTGCTCAGCTAGGTAGGTCTAAAAGGCTTGTCTGTGGGCTGGGTGTGAGGATGGTGCAGATGGCGGGGTGAGGAGGTAGTGGTGGGGACGCGCTGTAGTGGCTGAGGCCGCGCTCTACCGGATGTTTTATTTGGGGGTCTGGGCGCGTATATCCAACCTGGGTGAAGCTCATCCTTGAAGCCCAGTGGTGGTGGGTGCTGGGCTTTGGCATTTCATGCTAGGGTTCCTGTGTGTTGGGACATGTTCAGCCTTGGCCGAAATAGCGATGTCGGGAGAGGAGGGGGTCTCTTAATGTCACAAGTCCCGGGGTTTTGAGGAACTAAGTAGGCAACCTCCCCGTTATCTTCATGTGGTGGAGTGAGGCCTTCCACTGGGGTTTTGCTGGGCAGCACCACTACCCCTCTGCTTTGCTGAGACGGGGTGAGGCGTTGGCAGGCTTGGTCAAACATCCCTGGCTTGGACCATGTATTGTAATGGCCATTTCGGCACGATATCAGGATCTCAATTTGGCAGGTTGTCCCCCTGGGTTCGGGACTTGAAGGAAGAAGTGGGGCTGGGGCCCCCTGGGCAAGTTTTCCAAAGATCCGGAGGACTGTCACTCACCGCAGGAATCATGGATTCCCACATCTCACTGTGGCTGGGCTTTGGGATTTTAAGTTTCATTTTAACTTTTTATTACAGAGAAATTTAAGACAGAAGTAGATAGAACTCCATAGACCCATTACCCAGATTCAATGCTTATCACCTTGTGACCACTCCTGATTTCATTTCAAATTGATACACTGAGGACCTTACAACCCATAGTGATTTCTTATCACTGCCCTGTTGAAGACCATGACCTCCACAGCCAAATTTCATCCAGGCTCTGCCACTTTATAGCTGTGTCTCCTTGGTCAAGAGACTGACCTTAATGTGCCTCAATTTTCTTATCTCTGAAATGAAGATAATAAATCATACTTCACTGGGTTGTGAGGATAGAATGAGGTAAAACTTGTACAGTGCCTGAAACAGTCTCATGTACTAAGTGCCAGATAGGTATTAACTTACTTGTTAAGAGCAGTGGTGAGAGGATCAGCTCAGGGTCAGTGTCAGTAGCATGTCTGGTTAGGCAGTGTTCACAGCCCACATACCAGCTCTGTTCCCAGCAAGCTGCCCACAGTCTTTTCTAATGTGACAAGTCCATTCCTAACGCTTTTAAGGAAGAGGAAGCCCTATCCTGAGAGTTTCCAGAGACTCTCTTGAAGCTTTTGGTTCTTGTTCTGCCCCACTACAGCTCCTGCCTACCTAGAGAGGATTGTGTAGTGGGCAAAGGGAGAACTCCTGGGCTCCTGACAGCTCAGCTTCAGGTAGGTTCCTACTTATCTTTTGCATGCTGAACTGCTGGTGGGTATCCTTTGCTCAACTTTGAAATCTTGTAGCCTATTGTATCCCATCCAGTGATCAGAGCCTCAGCTGGTTTCCCCAGGAAACAAGGCCTTTTTGTAAGGGTGATGATTTTCATAGGGACTTTTCTCCAGACCTGGTGTCCTCATTCATAACCTCTTTGTCCTTGCTTCAGCATTTCTTCTTTCAGCATTTGTTCAGACTGCTCACTTGCAGGGCTTGTCTTCTTGTGAAGTATCAATATTCTGTTCTTTTTTCCATCCAGTGCCCCAGCAAATTGTCATATCATTTTACCTTAAAATACTTTAGGAGGCATCTCTAAAACTTAAGGACTTATTTTAACACAATCACAATTTTATTGTTACACCCAACAAAATTAATATTTCTTACCCCATTTGTTTGTTTGTTTGTTTGTTTGTTTGTTTTTGTCAGTCAGAACAGCCCTTCTCAGAGGTACAAGAGGAAGACATATCTGGAATTTAGCATGGTGGTTTTCTCTGTCTCTGCGTCTCTTTCCTCCCATTTCTTCTGATCTAGCTGATCTAGATTGATAGCTATAACTGCTATTAGTGGTGCAAGCTGGGCCTCTTGAATTTTCCTTGCCTCTTTTTTCCAAATCTACCTCCCATTTGTTTGGCTGTTGTGTCCTCTCAATTCCACCTAAGTGATACCTCTACATTCCTCCTCTTCCCCATTGTCTCCACTCCTGTACAGTCTAGCTTCCTGTTTCCTTTTTCCCTTCTTGTCCCTTTTTCTCTCACCTGTTGAGTTGGGCTCCTAAAGTATAAATACAATTATGCATGCTTAATGATAGGGATATGTCCTAAGAAATATGTTGTTGGGTGATTTTGTCATTGTGTGAATATTATACAGTATGCTTACACAAATCTAGATTGTATAAACCTACTACACACCTAGGCTGTATGGCATATCCTATTTCTTCTAGGCTATAAACCTCTACAGCAAGTTACTGTACTGAATACTGCAGGTAATTGTAACATAATAATATTTGTGTATATGAATATTCTAAACTTGGAGAATTTATAATTTATATTGTAAATATTGTAAAATATAAATTTATATTGTAAAATATTTATATTGTAAAAAGTTATTATATTGTTACTGAAAATACAGTAACAATATAATAAAAAAGATAAAAAATGGTGCACCTGTATCGGGCACTTACCATAAACAGATTTTACAGGACTGGAAGTTGCTCTGGGTGAGTCAGTGAGTGGTAACTAAATGTGAAGTCCTAGGGCATTACTGTCCACTGTTGTAGACTTTACAAATAATGTACACTTAGACTACACTAAATTTATACAACATGAGAGTAAGTCAAGCACAAGAGAAAATGATGCAATCAAGAAATTCAGTAAGCATGAGAGGTATGAATGAGGCTGCTGCTACCATAACATGGCATACTGTCTCACAGCAAACTTTTTTTAACGTAAGTAGAAAGAGGTACATATACTCTCAAACAACAATAAAAGTATAGAAATATATAAACTAGTAATAGTCATTTATTATCATTATCAAGTACTTGTACCATACATAATTGTATGTGCTACACTTTTATATTACAGGCAATACAATAGGTTTGTTTTCACCAGCATTACCATAAATACATGAGCAATGCATTGTGCTATGACAGTGTTGCTAGACAATAGGAATTTTTCAGCTCCATTATAATCTAATGGGACCACCAACGTATATGTGGTCTGTTGTTGACTGAAATGTCTGCAGTACATGATGTACTAACTTGCCATTTATCCTGCTAGAAAGAGACCTAATACTTTCTTCAGCTTCTGTTCAAACTGCAAAGTCAGACTGCCCGGATTCAAATCACAGCTTTACCATACTCTAGCTGTGCAGTCATGAGCATGTTATTTTACCTCTGAGCCTTCTTTTCCTTACCTGTAAAATAGGGGTTATCAGTGATGTCTACCTCACAGGGATGTTGGTTGTGATAACACTTGGGGATTATCAGTGGGTCCACTTCATAAGGATTTTGGTTGTGGTAACATTTGTGATGAGGTTAAAGTGTCTGGTACGAGCAATTCCACTGCTGGAATTATATCCTAAGAATCCTAAAACATCAATATCAAACACCTATGCACCACAATGTTCATAGCAGCACAATTTACAATAGCCAAGAGTTGGAAGCAACCTAGGTGCCCATCAGTAAATGAATGGATCCAAAAATTGTGGTACATATACACAATGGAATTCTATGCTGCAGAGAGAAAGAAGGAGCTACTACCTTTTGCAACAGCATGGATGGAACTGGAAAGCATTATGCTGAGTGAAATAGGCCAGGTGCTGAAAGACAAATACCATATGATCTCACCTTTAACAGGAAGCTAAACAACAAAACAAACAAGCAAGCAGAAAAAAAAAAAAACGAAGACACTGAAATAGAGAACAAGGGGACAGTGACCAGAGGGAAGAAGGAAGGGAAGTTAAGGGGAAAAAGGGGGAGGGATTTGGAGGAACAAATAGGAAGGACACAGGGACGAGAACTAAGGGGGGTAGAAATGGGAGGGAGGTGGGGAGCAAGGGGGGGGGGAGGCTGGGATGGGAGAAATAGACAAACAACTGTACTTGAAAAATAACTAATTAAAATTAATTAAAAATAAAAAAAATAAAGTGTCTGGTACGTAGGAAATACTAAATAATTGTTAGTTAGGGTTATTATTATTGCTTCCAACTTCTCCAAGTCACCTTTTCAGTCTCCTGCCCTATACCCAGTCTTGTCAGATCTTGTTTTACAGCTGCATGAAAATATATTCCATGGTATGCTTTTATTTTTCCATGCCTCTGCTTCAGCATAAACTCTTGCTGATTGAGCATCAGTGTGATCCCACTGTAGAACATTCCTGGATTTCCCTAGGTAGTATTCCCAGTCTCTCTGTCAGCAGCAGAACACTTGATGCATCAGGACTCCATGGCTCTCAAGCTGCACCATTACTGTCTGACTATCCTACTGAACTATGAGGTGGTTCTCTGCGGGTTGGGCACCTCATCTTGTTCCTTTTGGGCCATTAATACAATACCTGGGACCTGAATCGAATAACTGGGTAATACAGTGTGAAGACATGAGTTAAATTTGCTGGTTGGGAGGGAAGTTCAC